CGTAGCACATTCATTAAATTCAGTTGACAGTCTGTGCTCTTTCCTGTCCTTTCTGTCTCTTCCTAAAGCTGTCGCGCTGTGACTAGCACACAACCACGATGAACCAACTCTCCCAAATTAAGCTCTTGTTACGTAACACGTAGACGGAGTTTCGTATGGAAAGAAGGAGCGGTGCTTTTAAAATAAAATTTTTCACATACAACACCTAGACGGCATTCCAGAAAGTTCAGAAGGCAGCCACGTGACCAAATATTTTTCCTCTCCTAAATATTCCAGAAGTTCACTATTTTCAATGCAGCACGAGTTTTTCGAATACATTTGAGATGGTTGCCAAAATGGCTGGGACATTTGGCATAAAGTGACCCAGCTGTGTCATTAGCCATAATTATGCATTACCTCTTTTGTTTTTTGTGTGTCCTGACTCAGTTTTGTGTTCGTTTTTAGCATATTGTGTTTCTGATCATTGTATTGGTTTCTTAAGTATTCGCTAAAGTTATATGTGCGAAAACCCGTATATGATTGCATGTACATCATTTCTCATAACCAATTGTTATACATCCAGGAATACAAAGCTTAAACCACTGTGATTGTATACATTTGAAAACACTATCCATATATATTTTTGTGTGCATCACTTCTTGGGAACGATTGTGTACATGAAGGCGTATATAGTGAAATCATGGTGATTGTATATATTTGAAAGAATCATAAGTATATATTTGCCTGTATTTCATTCCTATTAACCGATTGTGTACACGAAGGAGTATTAAACTGGAAACCACTGGGATTGTAGATACCTGAAAGAATTATAGGGATATATTAGCGTGTATTTCATTTGTAGTCTCTATGTACTTGAAGCAGTATACTAAACTGAAACCAGTGCAATTGTATGTTGCAAAGAATTGTCAATAAAGTGAAACTGAAAAAATATAATAAACATTTGAGGTGTTGCATGTGTAGTGTACGTATACATGAACGTATATCTGGTGAAAAAGTTGTGTGGCAGAAGAAAAGTTTATGTTTTATTTGCCTATTAAATAAACGCAATATGCAAGGGCAGCAAGGCTTCATTTTCTGTAACGCACATTATGCATATACACTGAAGTATATATAGATCCAGCACAAGTTCATACACGATTGTACGCGTTTATATTTTGCCCACACGCAATGAATGGAGCTCGACAGGTGGTGCACCATCGATAAACAGGACCACTTTCTTCAAGTAGTGTTTAATCAGTGCATGCTGATATCTATTGGTGGCAGTAGTCACCACCCCTGCCATGGGCGCTCAACACCCTTGTGCACCCTTCTCGCACCCTCCTCAGAGGGTGCTAAAAAAGTGATGGACATCGAAGGCACCCTTTCTTTAGGGTGTTTTTTTAACACCCTGCAGTTTTTTTACATGTACACCCTATTCTAAGGGTGCATGGTAAAGCACCCTTTTTGGAAGGTGCTGAATTAACACCCTTAGGGTGTCGTCCACGGGACAAGCTCATTTACACCCTTCTGGGTGTAAAAATTTTTACTGTGTACGGCGTCCCTCATAATTCCATAGTGATTTTGGAGATATTACAAGTCCCTTTATATTACCACTAGCACATTTTCTGTGTGAAACCGGCCCGTTACACCTGGGACTACAACTCCTGCTACACGCTTGTAGCAAGAGTAGTGAGGGCGAAAAATAAGTTACTCTTACCTTCAAATTCGCTGTGGTTCAGGGGCCCATTAAGCTCTTTGCCCGTTTGTCACCATACAGGGAACAAAATGAAGTGAAGTTTACTGAAGCCGTGATGAAAACTCGCGAACTATATAACGCGCTTTAAATTTATCGTAAAAGTGCCAAAAATTGGGTAAACAAGTATAAAACCAAATATCGCTTTTACGATCAACTTCAACTTGTCAAACATTAGGCTCTTTAAAATGATTATATCGACATCAGCAAAAGTGACCTCCAGAGGCATCTTGCACCTAGGTTACCTTGATTAGGACTTCTCGTAATATATGTCAAATATAGGCCGGCAAAACGCGAAGGCACTCGCGGCCGGGCCTTCTACTTTAAATTCGTCACCGGCAACTATAACCACGTCGCCGAAACAGTACTCGGCGACCTCCACAAGTTACAATCTATAGTTGGGTTCATGTACGTATCGGTCGCGCAGCGAAACGCTTCCGCAAAGTAACGGAAGTTCCTGAGTGGTACGTTGACGCGCCACCTAGCGGGCGTCGCACCGTACTTTCTTTGGGAGCCCGAATCAGTCATCGAGTTCGTCAAATCATCGCACATGCCGGCGGCAAGGTTGTAGAAGAAGACCTGCGCCTCGTCGCAGGTGCCGTGAGGCGCCATCACCAGCAAACGCGGCGGGGTACTTCTTGCGATGGCGGCACGGTACATCAGGTACAAAGGGTAGATCATGGCGTTGTCCAAGAAGTCCGGTTCTTTCAGGTTCAAGACTCCGTCAGCAGAAGGCGCCATCGAGTACTGGTGGGCGAGACAGTCCTTGATGTTTCTGAGACGTCCTTCCGCCTCGGAACCAATCCGCCATGGCTCATCGACGTCATCATCGTCGTTTCCCGTATCGCCGACCGCCAGAGCCCGAATAAGGCCTCGTGTGACATGTGACGTGACGATCGGGTAGAAGACGGGGTGTATCGCGTTGCTGACACCGTTCAGTAAGGCCACCACGGCGTGAGGCAAGAACAGGGAGTTGCTGGACCTCTGGTACTCGTGCGCTGCCCACAGAGACGACACCGCGAATCGGTTGTCGTAGCCCGGCGAAGACGTAGATCCGTACGCACTCCAGTAGAGGGACGAGGAGTGCACGTGAATCCTGAAGACGCTGGCCAGGATACTCTTCGTTCGATTAGTGCTAGGCGACGTCGCCGAAGCACGCGTGTCGCGGTAATGCTCGTAATTAACAAGGTCGCTCCGCGCCCCGAACTCGAAGCTCATGGCGTTCAACTTGCGCGTCCGGTCTTTGACAGCGTCACCTATCCAGGATCTGTTGGCCGCGAGCAACGACTTGAGCGTTCTTCGCATCGTCTTGAACTGCTGCCTCATCTGATTGTCCAGGTAGGACCGCCGCACGGTCGCGAACTCCCTGCCAGCGGTGAGCTTCGCTGCGATGCCTAGACCGTACTTGTACAGCTTCTCGAGCGCTACGACGCAGGCAACCTGTCTGTGCTTCAGGCCGTCGGCTTGGAAGTCGTGCGTGAGCGTGAGGAGGTCTTCGCCTTCTCTGCCGAGGAAAGGTGATAACTCGACGAGAACCCTAAATGTGATGTAGTTCACCACGACGTAGTCCAAGCTGGAATTAATGACACGCCATAGATCCTGGATAGACAATGCGTCACTGACAGAAATGATGACACCGTCATCGATGGACCCTTGGGATTCTGCGAAGAGTGTCTGGAAGTAGGTCGTCCAGTTCCAAGCTTCCGATGACTGCAGGTCTTTGACAGCGATACCATTGTACTTCGGTGACGTGTCGTGCGGGCCTTCAGTCAGCATCGTCACTGCGTCTAGCTCTCGCTCGAGGGCTACAATCCGCGCCGCAATCGAGTAATTCCCAGGCGGCGATTCGTCTGTGGCACCAGGCCCGTTGCTGACTGGTCCTTGCTTCTCCGTCACGACCGACACGAGCGTTTCCTGTGCCAGACCACAAGCGTGGCTGCGCGTGTTCCACGCGCACAGTGCCTTGTCTACTATCTGCAGGTAACGCATCTCGGAAGCTCCCGGCGCCTTTAGCATAAAGCGATGGTACGGGGTCTGCGGAGGCCCCATGGCGAGCATGAAGCAGTTCTCGTCTCCGCGGCACGGAAAGGTGCGACTAGGCCTCACCTCGACCGTGAACAGCGTGCCCAATCTCAATATCCTGTCAGCAAGCGCGACGACTTCGGGCAGTTCTCGGGTCTCCCACGACGATATTAGCCCTAGCTTGTCCAAGATTTCGTCAAGCTCTGGAGAAACCAGGTGATCACCGTTGGCTGCTGCCTTGCGGCACTCGTCGTACACCCAAATCATCTGTGAAAAGAAATTGTCGTCCGGGCTGACTTCGGCTCCCTTCAGAGTCTCCTTCTTGGCCGAGGTGTAACGTCGGAAGAGCTGCTCTAGGTCTCCGAACAGCTTGATGGCACCCGAAAGAGGCGTCGCTGTTTGCGTCACGCCTTCGAACGGCCTGCGCCCTCTGGAGCAAACATGGGTGTAGAAGTCGTCGCACGGGTTGACTTGCCAGGCCACGTGGCGTAGGACGTTCTGCGACGTCCAGTTGCATACGGTCGACCGGCACAGCAGCGGGTTGAGTCGCCTACGAGTCCAGTAGACTGGGGACCAGGAGGCCTCGGTCTGCGAGCTCTTGGACGCTGCGTCGCGTGCCCGGGCGTAGGCAGGCATCAGGTACTTCTTAGTGAACAGTGCGGCGCACAGGAGTAACAACGCGATGCCTATGACGGAGCAAGCTACGCACGTGGGCATGGACGCCAAGGCAGCCTCTTGTACTTTGCGGCGCCAGCGTTTGGGCATGGCTCGGCGAGGCGTCGACGTCCGTGACTAGCACTTGTCTTGTCTTGTCTCCTAGGAGATCTTGGCTTATACCCACATGGGGGATTGGCCACACTGTACCTCATAATAGCACTTATGCTGTGCAACGAGCGTGACCTCGCAACGATGATGATGATGGATATCATTTGCGCGAGCTTGTGAAGGGGTCAAGGACTGGAATTTGTGTGGCAGTTGGTGCTTAAACAAAATATTGAAATCAAGAGCCTGGAAGCAAGCAGAGTAGGTCAGAGAACTAACGGGGCTTAAGGATATCATACTTGTAATCAATAAAAAGAAATGAATGTGGGTAGGGCACGTTATGCGTAAGCAGGATAATCGCTGGTCATTGAGGGTATACCTGACTGGATTCCAATAGAAGGCAAAATCCTGTGAAGGCGACAGAAAACTGGGTGGGCAGATAACGTGGCAGCAGAAATCACAGGACAAGGTTAATTCATGGATAATGGGAGAGGCCTTTGCCCTGCAGTGCGTGTAGTCAGGCTGTATATTATCATAATAATGCATGCAAAATCAAAAATGAAACATTGATACATCAAGAACGATTTCGGAAAACAACAGTGAGATAAATGATTCCTTAATAAACGTGAGTGTTGGTCACTGAAGTGAACAACTGACGCGTACACGCATCCCGCTGTAGTAGTGGGTAAAAGGCATGGCTTCAGAGCCAGTAGTAAGAGTCAACGTTATTATTGCTACAGACTCATCGCAATACGACGAAAAGTCAGGGGTTGGTATTTTCAGCCCGATTTTAAATTGGATTTATTCCCTTCGACTGCCCGATTTCATACCCGTTTTTGTGGCTGAGTTTCTGGCAGTAGTGTTCGCCTTACGCAAGTTAGATACAGCAATTACATCAGCGGTCATAATAACAGATTCCCTATCTCTTTGTGCGGCACTTTCTGTTGGTGCTGATAATCACGTAACAAAGGCGTTCCGTGCACTAGTACCTGCGCCTTTAAGAAAAGTGCGATTAGTTTGGGTGCCTGGACATAAAGGTTTGTTTCTTAATGAAATAGCAGATTCCTTAGCTAAGTCGTCAATCAGCGAACCAATTCTACCGCTCTGTCCATTATCCGCTTATGTGACTGCTGCTCGATTCCGCAGACGTACGCTTATGCAAGTCTTTAAAGGTTCAGCACTAACAAACTCTACAGAATATCGCCATTTATTATATCCCTGGCGAAGAGACTTTTGCCGCAGTCAAAAACAAGAAGTAGCTATCACAAGGCTGCGTTGCCGGGTACCAAATATAAATTTCTATAAACACAGGTCTGCTCAGGCACCTTCGCCACTGTGTGCGTTCTGTGATGAACTGGAAACAATAGACCATTTCTTTTTGACCTGCAGGCGGTTTAACACATTACGAAAAACCCTATTAGAAATACCTTTGCGTGGCATTGGTATGGACTTATCTCTGCCTGTCATTTTGTCTTTTGGAGCTTCCATTTCTGGTTTCTGTAATGGCACAGTATGCGCGGCCGTCCGGGACTATATTGATGAAACTAATAGGTTGACTAATTAACCAGTTTCATTATCTTAACATGTTCACATAATTATATACGTATAAAATCAGATTATTGCTCTATTCTAAGAATAAATTTGTTTATGTAAATATTTGTATGCATTACATTAAGCACCACACTTGCCTATAGGCTATCGGTAATCTTTCTGTTATACCTCCATCATTCTAAATCTGAACAGTAAATTTTAAAGCCACTCGATTCTTGGCCAATCCCCCACAGTGGGTATACGCCACTAACAATAGGAGAACAACAACAACAACAACAATTCCACCGCAGCCTGCGATTTGACGTAACGTATCATCATCACCCTCCTGACCACGACCACTGCTGGACAAATGCCTCTCCTATTTTCCGCCAGACAACTCAGTCCTGTGCTTCCTCCTGCCACTTCGTACCCCCAAACTTCCTAATCTCATCTGTCCCCCTGACTTTCTGTCTCCCCTTCACCCGCTTGCCTTCTCTTGGAATCCATTCAGTTACAGCTATTGACCAGCGGTTATCCTGCATACGTTTTGTTTGTTTGTTTGTTTGTTTGTTTGTTTGTCCCTTTTATCCGTAGCGCAAGCCACCATGGGGGATCAGCAATGCTACGTGCCCGGCTCATCCCAATTGCGTCTTCTTTATTTCAACCATGGCATCCTTAACCCCGATTGGTTCCCTGACCCACTTTGTCCTCTTCTTGTTTCTTAAGGCTACACCTATCATTTTCCCCTTTTCCTTTCCATCGCTCGCTGCGTCATCTTCAATTTGAGCACAACGAGCCTTCAGGTTTCTGCTCCATAGATGAGTACCGGCAAGATGCAGCTGTTATATACCTTCCTCTTGAGGGATATTGGCAATCCACCAGTCACGATTTGAGAATGCTTGCCAAATGTGCTCTCCCCCATTCTTATCTTCAATCTCATAGTTCGGCTCCGCGGTTACTACCCGTCCTGACTAGACGTACTCTTTCACCACTTCAAGTACACTGCTACCTATCTCGAGGCACTGTACTCTTCCGGGGTTGTTGTACTTTAGTTTAGTTTCCCGCACATAATTTTAAGGCCTACCTTTCTGATCTACTTGCCTAATTTAGTAGACATGAATTGCAATTCGTAACGTATAAAAGTCGCTGAATATTATTTTTTTACTGTAAGCTGTATTCTCGGCCAACCGGAAGCAGTGGGTACGAACCACAGTGCCGACGGACAAAGATGGAACAACCACAAGCGAATCACGCATTGAGCAGGTGTAAGACGGAAGCCTGTGAAGATAAGTGCCTTCCTTGACCTGGTGCAGAACCCACGCAAGTACTGATGGGAAATGCACAGGCTTCTGTTTACAGGTACCAATCATAGGATGTCAGCGCTTGTCTTTTATTTCCCAAGCGTTGTATTACATATAGGCATGTCCTTTGCACCTGCGGCCGGAAAGCTTTAGAACCGACGAAAAGATGGCCGCAGTTTCGGCATTTCATTTCAGAAAACATAAATTTGCGCTTCCTGGTATCGTAGTAATGGTTAAGGTTTTACGACTTAAAAGCACGGTATGACTGTGAAAGACGGTGTCGTGAGGGCTCTGTAAATTTGGACCACTTGCATGGGTTTTTGTTTTTTCAACCTGCACCTGCTTCTAAGTAAACGGGGGTACTATTCTGGACGCTGTCTAATTCCGCTATATTGTAAAATTTCATAACGGTGGCATTTTAAACCAATCAGGTCGTAGCAGCTCACTTCGCCAATTAGCGTCGATCAACGGTGGAATCTGACCACATTGCAGAAGTCGACAATCTCCAGAATAGCACCCCGGGCTTCTAGCACACTGCTTCCATCTATGTGCGGCGGCCGCGGCCGAAATTTAATCATGCAACCTTCCGGCTAGCAGCCAAGCAAGGTAACCACAAGATCCCCACTTTAAGTTACTAGCAGGCCGTCCAGGTCAATGTTTAAACCTGGTACCTGTTGGTCATGTTCCTTTAGCCGGTTGGTATATACCTGTTGGTCTTGTTCCTCCTGCCGGCTGAACCCTGTTGGTCATGTTCCTCTTGCCGGTTGGTCCCTGTTGGTCATGTTCAACCTGCCGGTCACCAGACACTGAAGAAAATAGACTAACACTTCGAGGTTAATTTTGGACTAATGCATACACCAGCTACCTTTGAAGTAACTTGTGGGTGCAAACCATAGTCGCATAAGGTTGTCGATGGGAAATAACGATCTCAGTATGAGCTGCATGTTCTTTTTTTTCTGTTTCTTTTCACTGCCTCAACCCACAGCTTACGCTCTGTTTCTTGTGGTGACGAACACCTCAGCGAGCCGGAAACAACCTGTGTTCAGTACGGTGGCCAGAGATGTTCTCTACAAAGGCGCAACCTCGCTTACCCTGGAGGTGCTGGACTACCACGGGTCCCGACCAGAGAGGTACTGACCACGACCTACTAAGTCGAAAGCCTTTGGTACCTCATCAAACGAAAAAAAAAGATGACCGATATCGGTAGCTAACGGAGCAGGCGACACGTGTGATGTGGAAATTCATCGTCATACGATGACGGCGCCCTTTTGATGTTACAGGTCACCGAAATTTGCGACATTGTCGCGAGGTTACTGTGGCGTCACATAATGGGACGTCACAATAATATGTAAACACATGACAATCGCTTTATCAAAGCTGAGCCGATCTCAGAGTCACTGCAATGTCCCGTGAGGTGTGAAAAGCTTCCAGTGCCTCCGATTCCGGAGGCTATGCCAAATCACGTAGGGTGCAGAAAGGTATAGTAGCAGGATGGAGATCAATACAATCTACAGCGAGCAAACCAAAGAAAACAGTTTTAGCTTTCTAGCTGTCTCGGGCATGCACAAGGAACTGTTTTTTTTTTTAATCTACCGTTACAACGAGTTCGTGCCTAAAAGAATCTACGGCCAGAGATATCCCCGATTTGGGTGAGAAAGTAATAGAGAACGATGGAGAAGAGGGTTTTTACACACTTTTTCGATGTGGCGCACCCTGTGGATCCTGCCGGTTGCCTTCCATTCGCACGACCTTCCTTAACTTGAGATCGACGTAATGAAGTAGTTTCTTCTGTGCTGGTCGCATCTCTGAAGAAGAGGGAAATTGATTGGATAGCAATCGACTTACATTGTCAAAGAAAGATCTATGAAGTTGCAACGAGAAAAAAAAACTAATCCACTTATTTGTGCTCTACTGTTACCCTGAAAACCGCAACACTACACTCTGAATAAGAGCGCCGTCTGAGCTAAAACGAAGTGTCTGTCCCGGACCAGTATATTACTTTTGATCGAATATGACGCCTTTTTTTTTTTTTTTTTGGTGCACCTTGTTCTCAGCAGTAATATTCGCGCTAGAGAACTTCAAGCAGCAAATAATCGGTAAGGAAGGATGTCAGTCATGTTTCGCTTAAGATGTTTTACAATTACTCGTGGACTTGAACCAGATTTTTTTTTCTTAAATGAAACAAATATTTGCGGAATGTTTGCTTTTACTTTCTCAATAAGTTCCGATCATCCACTACACTTTTATGCTGTTGTCACAAGGTCCCCTTTCATCGCGATCAACACATGATCCAGATCAAATTTCTTGATAGAGATTGGCTCGACTGCACGAGCTGCCGAAGATATAGCTAATCACTGCTGAGAAATTTTATCCCGATTGGGCTTAATTGCGATTAGCAATGAACCGTGTGGCGCAGGTATATATTGGGGCTGTTGCTCTCGGTATGGTAACAATTGAACGGGTTCTGCAACAATTTTCTAAGTAACCATCAAATGCCTTCATGACAATAGATTATTGCCTCACTGATCGACCACAGCATTTTCTTTTTTTATTCCGTCAAGTACGAGCGGAGATGGAGAGCACGCTGCAATCGCTTTTTCCCTCCTCTCGTCCCTATCAGTGCGTTGGAAGCTAAGCAGTGAATGGATGATATGAAGTAAAAACGTTATGTCACGCGCGTGTCGTAAGAGCACTTCTTTTCTTCTAACGCGCGGGTTACCTTCAATGTGATCGCGAACGCACTGAGGGCAGCTGGCGGCCTCTCGCGGAGGCAGCAGTAACTGCTCAGCTCAAATACTTCAAATCAGCCACTGGCCGTGGATTCGGATGTATGGGATCACTTGTAGAAAGTAGTGTGAATGATTTCAAGGTGATTTAGAGAATTTTAAATTCCAGACCGATTGATGCGCTTATAATCTATAGCTGTTGTGCTATCTGGAGCGTCGTCTACAGATCGGCAGCGTTTTCTGATCCAGCTGAAAAAGTGTTGCAGGGCCGCTTTATCTGAACAAAATGAGCTGCAGCAAAGTTATAAACAGTACAATTGCACTCAGAGATGAAGTTGAAGACACTCCTTTCGGTAGACAACATATATTGTGTGAAGGTTTTGCTTTCTATTAGTTTGTACTATTCAAGGCGGCTCAAGAAAATGCTGCAGTGGAGGCTCTCGAAACGCCATACCAGCAAAATTGGAGCCAGAGCTGTGCCTACAACAAATGCCACATTTTTGCGCGTACAACCTGCACCCTCAGCAATGATCGAGGGAAAATTTTCTAAAAATGAGCACCGGGCGTTGCAGTGAAGCTAGAATCGTTTTGCATAGCTTTGTAGCACTGCCGTGAAGCCACCCTTGCGTACAAGAATTCGATTTTTTTTTTCAGGAACATCTTAAATAAGTTTTTCATCCACAGATTCGTTCATGACATTTCTTGTTTTTTTGCTAATTTGGGCGGCCACCGTACATTAGAGTGGGCATACAGCGTTGTTAATACGGTGTATCTTTAATTTCTTTTTTCATTTGCTTAGGATCAGGAATGCTGCATAGTCGCTTGACTCCAAGACAGAATAGACACAAAAAATACAAATAAATTAAAGAACACATACTGCTACTTTGAGCATGGGAGGTATTTGTAAATAAAATCAACAAGCAATTACACAATCCGTACACTTAAAATCAACGCACGAAACTGCGAAATTCAATTGGAATGATACAAGCACGCCTTTACTCAAGCATTTTCTGCAATTGTGTAATAAACGCTTCCGCACTAGGGCTATCGAGTTCTTTCTTGTGTTCCAGGTGCTTATGATTAAAACAAAATACTCTAAGCACGTTTCGAGTACTTCATCATTCTCATTTGTAGGTAGCCATCATCATCGTTCTTCTTCTGGGAGTTCTGTGCGGCCATAATACCTAATGCATCACTTGAAGAACAGTATTCCTGTGTAATTTCGCCGTTATCAAAACGCGCACTTCTGCGCAGTGAATGATGAGTGATGTAAATATCGCTGTTAATTTGTATTGAATTCTTATACTTGTAGTACGAGAACTTTAATCTACTTTCGGCACGTTTTGCTATAAGTGTACTTAGAGCAACGCAATCCATCATATAAATAACACTAACGCTGCTTAACACTAACGTTGCTGCATTTGTATTCGTTGCAAATCGATAAGACAACAGATCTTTGAACTTTCTCAAATTGCTGCGGTCGTTCTCGACAAGGCGGTAAGTGACCGAATCGGGACGAAACCGTGCAGTGACGCCCCCGAGCGGAAGGAGCCGAACACCCTCTTGTCTCCCTTGGCTCTCGCCCTGTCGTTCGCGCTCGTCCTGGAAGGATCGGTGGCCCGGACCATAGACCGCGTCCTCGAGACACTCGGCTGGCAACTTCTCAGGGACTCGGACATCCGCTACGTCATGGCTCACTCTCTGCATCGCCTGTCGCACTTCCCAAACGACAGCGTGCGCGTCGAGGCGGCCGCGTTCGTCCAGCGCGACTTTGACGTCACCAGGACGTATCGGCAGTCCCTGGACACGTACTACGGCGCCGACGTCCTGTTGGTCAACTTCCTCGACCGCAGGGCGGCGCTCGTGGCTTTGAACGCGTGGGTGTGCCGAGTGACATCACGCGTGAGTTTGACGATGAGTGTACTTAGTTTGCACGTCGTCTTATAGGTGTGATTTTAAGGGCGAAGCTTCTTGGGGTGTGGGTCGTGTATCTCGTAGTGGTATGTTGTAGTAGTAGCAACTAGTAGTTAGTTTTAGGAATCGCTCACTAGATGGCGACTAGATGGCGTTGTGTGTATACATGTCCTCGGATATAATATCACTAGATGGCGTTAGCGGTTTTCGTTCAGCTGGCGGACGGACAGACAGACAGACAGACAGACAGACAGACAGAGACAGACACAGACACAGACAGAGACACAGACACAGACACAGACAGAGACAGACAGACACAGACAGACACAGACAGAGACAGACAGAGACAGACAGACAGACAGAGACAGACAGACACAGACAGACAGAGACAGACAGAGACAGACAGACAGACACAGACACAGACAGACACAGACAGACACAGACAGACAGACACAGACAGATAGAGACAGATAGAGACAGACAGACACAGACAGACAGACAGACAGACACAGACAGACAGACACAGACAGACAGACACATACAGACAGACAGACACATACAGACAGACAGACACAGACAGACAGACAGACACAGACAGACAGACACAGACAGACAGACACAGACAGACAGACAGACAGACACAGACAGACAGACAGACAGACAGACAGACGCCCAACGCTCCACTGACCATCATTCGTTTCGTGGATATGCTGTCAATTTTTTTTATTAAGCCGAAAGCTTTAGGCGTCTCGTGGGTTTGAAAATTGTGACTTCCGGTGTCGGCGTGAACGTGAAAGGTAAAAAAAACCACGTGACCACGTAGTGAAGTAACATGCCGACGCCATAATGACGTGATTTGGTGTTCGCTTGAACAAAGGTAGGCCTATCAAGGAGGTGGTGCAAAAGTGGTTCGAAAGGGAGGTGGGGCGAACAATGAAATCGAATGATTAGATCAAGACTTAGATCAGTGATTATATCTGTGTTTCCCTGCAGCATGCGCCCGTCGTCTGTGATTTCATTGGCGTAAGTTAAGGAAAGACTCGTTCATGATGTATTACCAAATTTTTTCGAAATAATAGGAAGATCCCTAATTACTGAAAGTGGGAGACAATCAGTCTGGCATCTTTAATTGTACGTGTGTTTACACAAAAAATAACAGATCACACGTAAAGTGGGAATCGATGGTATGCGAAGTACGAATGAGAAATGTTGATATGTCACTTTAAAATCAGCACAACGTTACGAGGTGGAGGTAAATGATGCCATGCATGACTTTCGTGTCATGATTATCATAGATGTGTCATTTACATGCATCATCTAGTAGGTTCACGTGATACCAAATTTAGTATATGTGGAGCTAGCGAAACGGCCGCGAGCACGCTATGAGCGTGGTATATTGTCATGTTCCTAAATGACATGACAATATACCATGCGTGTCAGGATTATCATGTTTGCACAAGTCGTATATTTTGTAATCCATTGACGTCACGTAACACCAAATTCGGTGTATGTAGAGCTAGCAAAAACTCCCAAGCATTTCCCCGAGGGTGAACATGGTTAAGTGCGAATGCACGGGGTGATGCTATGAGGGGTATTTATTAATTCACACTATTGACGATTGCGAGCCCTTCATCGCCCTTCTTCGCCTGACGCTTGCGTTGTCGTTCCGCTTCTTGGGCCGCGTTCGCGGCTCGATGCTGACGCCTCATCTCGGCCTCGCGAGCGCGCAGTTCACCATCCGCTGCACGCTTCGCCCGCTCGGCCTCGCGAGCGCGAAGTTCGGCATCCTCCGCAAGCTTCGTCCGCTTGTCCTTGGCCTCACGAGCGCGAAGTTCGGCATCCTCTGCACGCTTCGCCCGCTTGTCCTCGGCCTCGCGAGCACGCAGTTCGGCATCCGCTGCACGCTTCGCCCGCTTGCACTCGGCCTCGCGAGCACGCAGTTCGGCATCCGCTGCACGCTTCGCCCGCTCACGTTCGGTCTCACGAGCCCTTCGCAGCGCCTCCTTGTCTTCCAACGTCGGCGAAACCACCGCGGTACCATCAGCTCCAACGACGGGTGCAGTGCTGGCATTCGGTTGTACTGCATTCGTTGTTGATGGTAGCGTTGCCTCCGGGACATCCATCGCACGACCCGCTCTCGACGGGAGACAGAGAGAAGGCGGGCGCGCGAGAGAGAGGGGTGCGCGCGCAGCTGCAGCGAGCGAGGAGAGCGGAGGAGCGAGAGAAGGGGGATATCAGCGTCGCGTCCGTGGCTTATTCGGTAGAGCGTCGCGCTGCGGCCCGCCAAGTCCTCTTTCTTTTAAAGATAGAGAGAAGACTGCGGACGCCGCCGACGGCGGTGGATGGTTTGGGGTCGCTTATAAAGTGTATTCACACCTAAAACGGCCGCGAGCGCATCATGAAGGGCCCATTATACTCCAATGTAGCGTTGACGCGCGCACACGCTGGGCACAGCGACGCTACGTTAGCAAAACGCGAGCACTCTATAGTCTGATGCCAGGCGCGAGCAGCGTCCATCGGCGCGGCCCGACGACAACTGGCGCGAAATTCGACATGCTGCATTTCGCGCCAATGCGTTACCCAGACAACACTGCCTCTCCCTCTTTTCGTGACGGGGGGACGCCGGACACGCTAGAACGCACGTGCGTCAAAGCAACGCAACGTGGCATGCGCCTGCGAGTGTATGACAGAACCGGCGCTTGGCGTGGCAACGCCGGCGAGCACGCGCACCGCGTCCCGACGAAATGTATTGGTGCCTTGACTGTGGCGTGTAGTCCTGTTCTCACATGACACGCATTTCATGATTATCATGATTGCACCAGTCACATACCTTCGTCATTCATTGGCGTCACGTTATACCGAATTTGACATATGTGGAGCTAGCGAAACGACCGCGAGTGTATCATCAGTGTGGCATGTAGTCATGTTGTATATGATACACATCTCATGTTTATCATGTTTGCACAAGTATCATACCTTCGTCATCCACTCACGTCCCGTAATACCAAATTTGGTATAAGTGAAGCTAACGAAACGGCCGCCAGCGCATCATGAGCGTAGCATGTAGTCATGTTGTTACATGACACGCATTTCATGAGTATCATGCTTGCACCGAGTCACATATACCTTCGTGATTCATTCACGTACTGTAATACAAAATTTGGTATATGTGACGCTAGCGAAACGACCGCGAGCGCATAATTAGCGTGGCATGTAGTCATGTTATTACATGACACGCATGTCATGATTTTCATGTTAGAGTCAGTCGTTTGTTGTCGCCATGCAATCATGCTATGCCATACCAGTTTTGCAACATGCTATGTGAACAAAACCACCGCAAGAGCTGCAGGACCATTAAATGTAAATCATGACATTCATGACATCCATGTCATGATTTTCATGTTACGACAAGTCAAATATGTTCTTCATACAGTCATGTTACGTCATACCAAGTTTGGTATCGATACCATCATCGAAACGGCAAGGAGGGTCGTAGGCGGCTAGATAGATAGATGGATACGCTCAAAGTCGCCGAAGTTCGCTAAGAAATGCTGCGCATTTAAAACTGGTTAACGAAGTAGAGTACTTGGTACTCTACTATGGGAGAGCATAAAGCCGTCCCCTGGGCCTGACGGGTGGGGAGGGGGGGTAGAATAGGGGGTAACGATTTAGAGCACAGGGTACGGCTCCACAAGTTGATTGATGATGCGTACGGTTGTGATCATTCTAGTTTGTACTGTATAGGCGGCCATGGGCCCCATTTCAAGAGGTGTTTTCTGCGCACCTTTTCCACCGGAAAGCGGAAGATTAAAGTCACGTCGTTATGGAAAGTACATGATTGCTTCGTTTTCTTATATTTACATTTAGTGCGACGCATGTGCTTCTTTATGGATCGGGACGTTACGAGGTGTGAAGGGGGCGTTTTGATGCGATTAAGCGACCTATAAAATGGTGTTCACACAACGTATGTGATCGCGGACGAAAAAGTCACGTGACGTGAATCGGATCCCTCCTCAACCAGCAATCATTCGACAAGGAAGAATTCACGCTGCAAGCGAGGATTTAGGCAGTGCTCCCCGACGATCCCAAGTGCCTCTGTCGCATCACGATTTGCTCCGCGAGGACCGAAGCGGAGACTTGGGTACGGCTGGCGTAATGTGGCGTAGTACGCAATCCGCAAGCCAGAATCACGATTTTGTCCGTCGTGTGTATACAGCTTAGTGTACACAACCCTGCTCACGCCAACGCTTTCAGTTGATATCACCATGGCAACACGTATACCAATGTATACCAATTAGCCAGATGAATTGGCGCTTGGCCACACGAATTAGCCAAGGACCGATTCCTCTGGACATGAATATCGTTGTTTAACCGACGAAAGCTACAAGTACACTCTGTTTAGATTCTTATGTTAGTTCTAATCAAGGAGTTTAAAAAAAGTGTGCCCCTGACGCAGACGCGGGAATCGGCGATGACCACTCACCGATCGACATTTTGTGCGGCGTCCGTGGTGAAGCCAAGAGAGCACAGGTCAACGGGTTGTTCTAATCAAGGAGGTTGCTTTTTTTAATCACCTTGGTCCAAGTTAGGTGGAAATTAGTTCAGTCAGTTGAAATTCAACACTATTTTATATTTTTCGTTGCTTTTCTAGTGTGTATACGTTCTGTTACAGTTTGAACGATTGCCTCACTAATACTGCAGGTAATCCTGCGGCTACTCTTGGACAACACCTCGGAGATCGACTCCGCGTCAAGGTTCATGGCCGCGGGCGTCCTCACCCTGAAGCTATCGTTCGATCAGCCCTTCCAAAATCCCAGAGTTCAGCTGCCATTCACCTCCGAGTTGCAGTCGCAGTCCATCGAGGCCATGCATACGGTGGGAACGTTCGGCTACAAGCAGTTCGCAGACCGTGGTTTCGACGCCGTGGCCTTGCCGCTGCTGTCCGGGAACCTGAGCCTGGTCATTCTGGTGCCTGCCGAGGGCTCTACCGGACTGCGGTCCGCAAGAGCCTCATTGCGAACCCGGATTGGTTGCTCAACCTCCAGGCTGAGATGGAGCCGAGGGTTGTCGAGGTTACGCTACCTCGGTTCAAGGTGGGCCTGGTGTAATGTGAATCTGTGTGGTGTAATCTGTAGCAGGGTGTAACTGGCGCCATCATTCAAATTAGCAAGAAGAGAAAAGACGTAGACACAGGCGCTCTGGCGTAAATTATGAGGAGGGCAAGAAGGGATCCCGACACCCCGTGTTCCGGCCGAGGGAAACACCTCCTGGAAGTGCTTTTCAGACACCATATTTTAAACTGCTTGAAAGCTTTTGAAGGTGAACGCGCTCTGCGTACAACTAACTCAGAGATCTGAAGACTTTCAAAATAGCAGAACAAAGTACAACAGTGGAAATAAAAAAAAAAAGCTAGCTTTCTGAAATGTTACCAGCCGACACTCCGCAAATGGGTTTCAGACGCGAAGCAGCTTTTGCTCGGGGCTGTGTCCGTCCCTCGGCGACCATCCGCTCACCCACTGCGCATGCGCAAACTCTACTCGCGTGAGCGCCAACAGGTGGGAGGAGGTACCGTCTCCGCTTCGTTTCTTCTCTGACGTTTATCGCTGCGCCACAGCTGTGCGCTTGTATATAATAGACCCTCTTCATAAATAGGCCATCTGACGGTGAGCTTTTCGTCAGTTTCGCTTAGCAAAGGAGCGTGGGATAGCTAGTGCCATCATGAGGGCATGGAAAGCGAGCCTTCAAATGCGTGGGTACTGTTATGTTTGTGTTGGCGGCTATACTCCGTTTCATACATCAGGTGCAACGCTGTGAAGGCTAGGCAAGTAGTCCGTAAAGAAAACACGAGGTGTTGCTCCGCGCGGTTTCGTAGCCGAGTGGTCTGACGCGTCGCTCCGGAGAGTTCACCGTAGTTTTGAAGTGCATGGGTTCCATTTCTGCCATTTTTGGTTCCATTCTTGAAGTGCATGGGTTCCAAAGTGCCATTTTTTCGAAGCTGTCCCAACAAGTAAAAAAAAAAAAAACGGCGGCGCGGGTCGCGCGGAGAGCGAAAACCTGATACGAAAGCGACAAACATAAATTACCAACTCGCATATTTGGATTGTTTATCCGACAACACAGGCGTTTGTTTTTTAACCTGATGACAAATATGTATGCTTAGAAGTTTCCCGAGAAGCATTTATTGATTCTCGTACACCCCAAGCGACGCACTACTTTTTGGTCGCGGCAGTACACAGCGCAAACAAGAGCGCTAGCTTTGACAGCGTTGCACATGATGTATGAAACGGAGTATAGTTCTTCGTATCGTCTGCTGCCATCGCACCATTTTCTAGCTTGAACGAACTCGTAGTACTCTCTGATAACCTTTCTGAGCTGCTTCCGCTGCACAATGAGCAACATTGTGTACCCTTCAACGGGTTGGACGAGCAGTTTGGTTTGTTAACACTGGCAATGCAAGGATCCGGCCTGCAAGGGACTCTCATCGGCGTGACCTCCCGACGCGGTTCGCGTCCTGCAGGAACGCAAGAGGTATCTGTGCGCGCCGCGAGAAACGCGCATCAGCGTCCCTGGGACAAACAGCCTGCGTTGTCGGCTGCGGTGCCCTCACAATGGCGGCAGACTGTAGTTCGTGTCCGCGGTGCTAGGGGCGCCCTTTTTCGAAAAGGGTCTATGTTTTGCGCACGCACTCCGTTGCGCTCTTCTAACAGCGCTGGGTATTCACATAGCCGCGCACACACGGTAATGCACATTAATAGGAGGGGGTAACCTAAGCGGTACACGTCACATACACAACTCTACGCACGAATGTAACGTACACGGAAGCACACAAATGGAAACACAAGTGAGCACAAGCACTGCTTCGCATTCCCGTACATGGGCGTTAATCTTTATGCTGCGCTTTTAAATGCTTTGTAAACAGAGAATCTGATTTTCTACGGTTACTCATCTATGTCAATGACTGATAGAATTAAGTAGTCGACAATATGAGTACGATCGCTCGACTACGACTGCGTTGCTTTCAAAAACAAAATAATATGGCTCATTTTATAACTTTGCGTTCGAAGCGCAATTTTAGCATTTCTGTTATTAGAAATAAAATTTGCGCTTATATAAAAATGCCCGCTATGACAAGGTGTTGCCAGCCTTGTGACATTTTCGGATTTACGCCAATGTATAGGCATTTGCAGACTGTCGTCGCGAAATATGAAAAATCTCTAGGCTACCCCAATCCTCGACTGAGATAACGGGTAGTGGCACTCGTCAGTCGGCGTACGTGTGCCCTGGTGGATTCTTCAGTTCACATTCTCTTTTTGCTCGCTGTCGAAGCGGATTTCGGAGGCCGACCAGAAAGAAGCACGTCCGTTGTGACCTCCCGCCTGGAGATGCTGCAATCCCAGCTAATCTAGAGACCTATAGGCTTTATGCGCACGCCTCTGAGGAGCACACATGAAGGCTCCGATGTGAGCGCTGTGGTCAGCGCTACGGATGTCATTTTTGATTATTACTATCACATTTAAATTATCAATGTCTGTTGTCACCGTTCCTGGGAGTATTTTAGCACTGTAATGCCCCCTGTATCATATTTGGTACATTACTTAAAATACCTCAATAAACCAACTACTATATAGGTGTCATCATAAGCAGCTATTGCCGATTTGACATGTTATAAAGAAGGTAGTGACTTACATATGATACCATAGTAACTATATAGTTATAATTACTAATTGATGTATTCCTTCGACAAAACCAATTCATACTTTCTTAAAATGAACTGTACAAGAAGAGTAAAAGATGTGAGCGTTTTCTCGCAATTTTCGGAAAGGCATAACTGTTCGTGGGCATTACAAGGTCAATTCACCGGTGGCACATACCCGCATACCACGGCCTATGGTATACTTGTGTGCCACACGTGTGGAGAAAATGGTTTGACGACGCACCCGGCAAGACGTTATTCTTGTTCTGATAGCGCAGTCGTATTACTTAAACCCGTTTACCCGACTGTGCCAATTATGGTCCCCACCAAGTTAAGTAGCTGGTCACAAGAGCACCCAGACGTACGCGGCTATAGATAGTTACGTGGATAGAAGCGCACGAAGTGCCTGCAGTCCGTTTGAAAATTTTTTCGCATTTACTAAGTGAAGGCGTAATATAAAGTGCTCGTTATAGGGACACTAAAGTCATGTAACAATTTACGTAAGAGTGAAAGCTCAATGTATGACAACATCTAGAATGACAATATTATCAACAACAGTGCCCTACTTACCGAGAAATTAAAGTATATGCACAAGAACACAAGCGCCGCAGTAGGACATTTTCAAAATGACCCCGATGACATCAGAGGGACCGCCTACAATTAATCACTAGTAATCGATCTAACTGCACTAAATAAAGAATTTTCCGTTCATCAAAAGGGCAATTAAATGCTGCTTGTTCGTTTTTGTTTGATTGATGGAAAGAAGAACCGCCGGACGTTATTATGGGGAATGGCGCGAGTTGTTCAAAAATTGAATTTTCGCGTGGTTACACGGGACAGGTGATGCGTTCGAGGGAGAAGAGTACAGCGGGGGAGAGGTCCGCAAAGTCGCCCTTGATATGACTTCCGAACGCGCGCTCCGCCGCTTGTATAGACACTGGCCGCGTTCGAGGGAGGCAAGACGAGGCGCGAGGCAAGCCGAGCATGCGCAATGGGGGTGTGGATGGCGCCGACGCCGAAGCGCGACATCGTGCGACTACGAAATGCTCCGCATTTCAAAATTTCCCGCTTAATTTCGATACAGGACTTGTATATACGTGACAAAGAGACGCTTGACTTTATCTGTACAGTGCACGCGTTCGCTCCTCTCTCAAGGTCACATCCGTGTGCGGACTCAAGTCGGCACTGACTGCCCTGGGCTATGGCCACCTGTTCGACCGATTCCAGACGAACATGGCGGCGGTGAGCCGGCACGGTCACGCCTACGTGGCCAACATCATGAACGCCGTCTCACTCGACGTCGGCCCCGTCACGTCGACGTCGGCGACCGAAGCTGTCGATGTCCCGACAGCGTCTCCGCCGGTCGCGTTTCACGTCAACAGGCCCTTCATATACGTGGTCGCCGACAACACGGACGGCCTGCCCCTGGCCATTGGGCAGTTTGTAGATCCGTCAGGATCGGCTGCCGCCGAGGCTTCGAACAAGTTGTGAATGCCAACGAAAACTGACTTGTTCACATTGTCGGGCTTGTTCAGGGAGAAGATGGAGAAGGAGGGGGGGTTGCTAAGAGCGCATTTCACCCCGAGGAGCCTCACCTGTCCTTCAAGCACTGAGCTGCCATTATTTAATACAGCTGTGCCCCCCTTCCCCCAATCGTCTATGTCTTGATTTATAAATGGTCACTCTTGCCCCAACTTATACCCTAGCGAGGGCCGGGCGATGATACCTTGGCAATAAAACATCACTTTTCCGTCAGTTCATCCACTTCAGTTTGATTTCCTTAAAAGCCACCATTCAGGGAATGTTTTGTCAGTGGTTTGATTACAAAATAATAGAGCGAACATTGAATTAACATTTTAAGCGATTAGTGGTGCGTTCTTCAAAAGCAGATTATGCAATGGTGACGATGTAATAGGGTAGGCCACTCCAGAGGGAAGCTGCTCTGGGTTAAGACAGGTGGCCGTAAAGATCCACTGAGACTGATGGTTAGTTAGTAATTTGTGAAGCTATAATAGAATGTTACGATATAATTTCAGCTTTGGCTGTTTCAGTAAGAGCTTGGTGAGGAACCTTCCCGAAAGCTTTCGCAACATCAAGAATTATAATACCAGTTGTTATATCAGAGTCGACTTTATTCTGCGAGTCATAAACTAATTGTGCTAATTGTGTTTCGCAAGGAAGGCCTCTGCGAAATTGGCGTTGTGACGGGTGAAAAAAAATTCATTGAGGTCGAAGTACGTAATTTCTGAGTAAATGACATGTTTCGTGATTTTTCAATGCACCTCAGTCAATGAAATGGGGCGGTAGTTCAAGGGTGAGCGTCTGTTACATGATATGTAGACTGGAACTACCTTTCCCGTTTTTTAGTCAGCCGGCATGATTATTGGGGTAAGTAGCTGTTTAAAGCTGAGTCTATTGCACACGTTTGAGGCGTTTCGAATGAATGGAATTCATACCACCTGATGTGGAAAGTTTCGATTTGTGGCTTATGTATGCAATACCTCCTTCGAAGAATGTGACAGCTAGAATATGTAACCAATATATATAGTTGTGTGTTATACTAATGTGTATATGTATATGTCACTGATGCAGACTGTTTTGGTTAATATGGGGTGAGACCTCGTCAGGCCTTTAGACTTTATTCGTTGCCTCCCGCAGGGGAATTCTGTCATTTTTCCTGCAAATAAACAATGTTGATGTTGATGTAGAATGAAAGTTTTTGAGTTCAATGATGGCGGCTGTGAGGGCGTGTCGAATTCAACAGTGAAGACATAGGCTAAATACTTTGTTGAATATTCCTGCGCTATCATGATCCCTCACTGCCTCGTGTAAATAGTTATTCAGTTTAATACAGGTAGGACGCGGAGGAGTTATAACTTGAGAATCGCTCGGTATTTTTGACCGTAGGTTAGGTAGGCCAATATGATAAAACGAGTATTTGTTTACAAACGAACTGTATATGGGATTTCAGCTTCTATATACTTTTTCCATGCAGTAAGCTTGTCGGTGCCTTTGGTAGGCACGAGAATTATTTTTTTATTTTTGTTTTCAAGTTTCTTTAAATGTTGGATGAAACTAACAGTTCATTGCGGTTAGTGTGAAAAGCAGAGCATACGGGATAAACGCATAACAAAGGTGATTTTACTCGGTCCCTGAAGATCATCCAGTTGTCAGTGAATCGAAGGTGTGTGACATGTCCATTCGTGTTCAGTAAACAAGTTGCCGGACAGCTGAAGTCTACGGATATTGCAATATGGTTACGCTCATGATGAACAATTTTTTAATTAGTCATCCGTTTTTCGGGTCGAGGTAAATGACAATAGAGAGTGCACGACTTTGGCCCCAGATCTCCGGAATGTAACTTAAAGATGATAGATTTTTCCGGAATATTGGTTAATATCAGGTCGAGAATATTTGCTGATCCTCGCGAGATAAGGGTTGGTTGGGAGACTAATTGTGTGGAGTTGAAATTAACACACACATCGAGGAAGTTTATCGCCTCTGCATCAAATGATAAACTAGCATTTGTTATACGTCGCCAGTCAATTTGAGAATTATTAAAACCACCAATAAGAACAGTGCGAGGACTTTTGTACTAGTTTATGAATACTGTTTTGCTAACGGCGTGGAAAGTTTTAGATTCATTTGCGTGGACATATAGCAGACGCTATGAACGACTGTTACGGATTGAGCTTCTAAAAACAGTAATTCACTGCGGCTTATGCACTATTTCGCAAAAGGGGCGGCAAACCTACCGAACTCGTAAGCTCTCTCTCTCTCTCTCTCTCTCTCTCTCTCTATATATATATATATATATATATATATATATATATATATATATATATATATATCAACCACACTCTAACAGGCCGAGGAATGGCGGCCTTAGCCCAATTTTCGCGTCCAATATGCAACGCTCATCTTGCTATCGCGCCTCTCTCTCTAATTATGCTGTGGCGGTTAACATCTACAGACGCCACAATAGTTCATTAAATTTATCATGGATGTTAGTAGCTGGGGTGGAGATGTACCTAGCGTCAACGAGGATACATCCACGTTGAATGGGGCTATAGCTGCCAAACACCGAAACATACATTCGGCAAAACCCCCGTTATCAATCTACAGTAAAGAATCAATTAACCATGTTTTACTTTCATGTTATATGCATGCCGATTTCTATGACGGATGAATCCACCATGTTTTTAATGAATGATTGCTCTCATTTTTCTATAATAGGTATTACACTTCCTTGCATATATTCAGGCGTGCGTGCATTATAATTGGCCTTATTTGTTAATAGTCTGAACACTCTTTTTGGAGCGTGCAATTATTATTAATGTTGCTATTGCTATATTACTGTTATTAACTTGTTATCAACTTTTGAACTTCCCAACTTTTCTTAGTGGGGGAGGGGGGGGGGGTGCGCCTTCTTGCCTCCCACCCCTGGCTGATACGCCTATGCTCATTCAGTAAGAAAAACACACGCAAGCGCACGCGCGCACGCACGCACACGCATTACGAAGGCACATTACGTGGTAGTTAATGGGGCGCACGAATTAAAATGACCGCGTTCACGTTCTAGACACAAATTTTTGCATTAGGTAGCGCCGCCTATGCACAAAAAACGAACTCGTGCAATTGTAGTGTGTGAGAACGCCGAGAGAGAGCGCCGCAATACCAATCTGAATAAATACGTGAAGACGATAACGCTCAAAATCATTGCATGCTTGTGGTGCCATTCTGGCTGATATGATTTCGTCCAAAAAATTCACGCTATTTTGGAGTTACTCATGACGCATGGTGATACTTGAATTCAGTTTAGAACCAAATTAACTAAAAAATCAAGTTTTGCTTTAGGTAGCCCTATCTACACATTATAAACAAAGCCATGCAATAGTAGTGTGCAATAACACCAAGAGATAACTGTGTGTTACCAACCCAAAGCCCATTCTGTTCAAAATTATTAATTGGACATTTTCGAGGCCCTTCTTACTAGTCTACGTTCGTTCAGAAACATCATGCCAATTCGCATTTAGTCCCGAAGTATCGTGCCACGTTCAGTTTTAAAGAAGAGAAAGTTCTGTCAACACTAGCGAGCCATGACTTATGGTCCTAAATAAAACAAATAGATGTCAGTCTCAGAGGCTGAAATTATTGCTGCAATTCATCAGTAGAGGACGCCACCACACCAGCGCAATCACGTTTCCTGGTGCTTGCGTCATCACAGGCTGTACGAGCGCGCAAATATTCGAATTGACAGATACACAATTCACTTTGCTGAGCTCTCTTAATATTCAACGAAGAAAAAAGAGAATGCATCACTGTCCAACTTGTGTTTTTGCTGGTACAGTAAGAAAGGGCAACAGTTACTGGGATACGAAAAAAAGAAAGGACGGAAAAGAAAACAAATGCGAGTGATGAAATGTTCCTTGACTGTTTTTCTTTGGCGTGTTTCGACTCGTTCTCCACTTCACCGAGGAAACTTTTCGTTTAACGCTCGCACTTGCTGTTCACGGTAGCAGGGCTTGCACGATTCCAGTGCCGCGTACCCACCTGTGGAGTTTTCGACGATGGAGCACGAGTTAGTAATAGCCCAAACAGCTTCGCGGTTAAAAAATCCCATTCGCCCCTTTTGCTGCGCGATGATGTAGCAGGATTTCTCAGAAAGAAAGATTCGTAGTAGTTAAAAAGAAATGAGCCCGAGGAGCAGCTCGCTTTTTTTCTTCATATACTTTCACTTGTCCGTTGCTCAGAACCGATTCGTTACGTTCGGTTAACTACCACTGTACATTCAGTTATGCATATGCAAGCGGCACAACTAAGATGTTTCGTATTGACATAGCATTACTATTTGACTGCTTTACTCCGACCGACCATATACATAATATCTGTGGTTTCGACGTGCGAAAACAACTGTATGATGAGACACGACCACCTCCTACACTCAATGTTTGCTTGCCCCTCCCACCATGCAACAACTACAACAACAACAAGAAAAGTCAAGCTTGGCACGCACACACAAATATAAGATGACAAAGAGGAAACAGGAAGCGAGCAGACACACAACTGCCACCTAAAGGGGAACAACGTATGCCGACCTGAAAGGATGAAGTATAGGTGTCCTCTTTAATTAATAATACATACCTGTAAATCAGCTCAGCGTTATGTGTTTCCAGAGGGACCTTAGGTATTGGATTTGGCATTATAGTTGGTGTGCTATTCGAGCCGAAACTAAGTCATGTATTCAATGCGAGTTTCAGAATTTGAAGCTCCTTCTCATTTTTTTTTTTTTTCATCTGCGGATACAACCTGGGATGTGCGCATAACAAACCCCAACCCCCTCCTCTTCCGCCTTCGCGCTTTAATTACCCGAAAACGACCCCAATTCTGCCACGTAGCTTCACTCCTTATTCTCGTGGACCTGTACCGTTACCCGCCACGGTGGACTACTGGTTTTGGTGCTCGACAGCTGAACAGAAGGTCTCGGGATC